TTCTTGGGCCATCTTGGAGCCCTCTCGGGACGTCTTGGGGCCCTCTTGGAGGCGTCATTGTGCTGTCTTTGGGCGGTCTTAGGTTTTCTTGAGCCATCTTGGAACGCAGGGGCGCCGAAAATGCGAGAACCCCAAACTCCTTCAACAATTTTTGTTACATTGACGATGTTGGCCTCTTGGGGCTCTCTCGGGAGGCCTCTAGGCGCGCTCTGTTGGCTCTTTATGGCCCTCTAGGGCCGTCTTGGAACCATCTTCGGGCGCTTTAGAGCACTCTTGGCTTCGGCAATGCGAATGTGCCGTAGTTTGCAAGGGTTTATTGCCACGCGGACGCGAATATGGAATCTTTTAAGGGGGGGTGACTCGGGGACCCAACACTCGATCAATGTGAACAGGTTTTTTGCTTCTGGGGCGCGAATCTTGTGCAATGTACAAGTGGTTTTGTTTTAGTGGGCGCTATTATTAGGAAATCTGCTAAATTTCGGGGGCGCGAATCTTTTATAATGTACAATGGGTTCTGGCTTCGGGGGCGCGAATATGGGTTAACTTACAAAAGGTTTGTTGCAGCGGGGCGGCGTTTTACGAGGGTTGGTTGCCTCGGGCGCGGAACAACCGCGCCATTTCGCGGGTTAGTGGCCTCGGGGGGGCGCGACGATTGCGCAATGTACGAAAAGGTTTGTTGCCTCGTGGACGCAAGAAAAGGAATATTTTGCAGGGGTTATTGGCCTGGGGGGCGCGAGTATCAGATAGTTTGCAAAGGATCGCGGCCTCGGGGGCGCAACTGTGGAGTAATTTGCATGGGGTCGTGGCCCCAGGGGCGCGACTGTAGCGTAATCTACGTCAGATCGTGGTTTCGGGGGCGCGAGAGCGGCGCATTTTGCTAGAAATCGTGACTTCGGGGGCGCAAATGTTGTGCAATTTGCGAATGATTGTGACTTCGGGATTTGCGGGTACAGTGTAATTTGAAAGGAATTCTTGCGCCGGGAGCTCGAGATTTATATTTTTTCGTGCCCCACGGCCCCGCGGAAATTCAGAGCATTCGACTCGGGGGTGGTGGCCGGGCGCTTTTCAGATCCCCCCCTCGCGCGGACTTCGACGATTTACAATACGAAACAGAAAGCAGGATTGTAGCATTGGAGGCTGGAAACTGCGACTGGTGCGCGGGAGCAGCGAACCTGATCCTCGCAGCCTGATGGCCCGGCAAGGGGGCCGGCGGATCACTTGGCAGGGGGATTTCTGGCAGAAGGAGGAGTAAGGGGCGCCGCAGTAAGGGGCGCCGAAGCACTTCGGGTAATTGCAAGGGACGAAGGGCGGACCCCTTGGGCCGAAGCGGGAACCGCGTGACCTGTGTTAGCGTTGACAGTTTGCAGGCCCCGTGCTCAAACGGCAAGGCGCGAGTCCATATTTCTTGATACAGAACGTGCTGAAGACAAGATCGAAGGCGCCGATTTTCCCCAGCTCGCCAGCGGCAGCGTCGTTGACCGCCTCGTTCCCAGTGGCGCCCTTCGCTGCAGGATCCGAGGTTTTCGAGCAGTGCGCCGGCCGCTTCTTCGAAGAGCTGCGCGGCCACGAGGAGGAGGCCGCTTCATTCCAGGACCGGCTAGTTCTCCGTGCTTGCGCGCGGCAGCGCGCTCGGGATGGCGACGCCGACTTCGCGGGCGGCGACGAGGGCGTGGGCGCTACCTCCGAGGCTGGAGTCATCCTGGCCTTTCAGGACGAGCTGGATGCCCACTTTCACGGGCGCGCTCCGAGCGGCGAGATGACGGATTGCATTCCTGGACGCGAGCCAACTCCAACGGTCATCAGCTTCGCCGCTGAGTAGTGGAGAGCTGGCTGGGGCAGTTCCGCCATTGCTACCTTCGTCGCTAGCGCACAATTGGCGGGTTCTTCTGGCGGCCGCGCTAACGGGGGTCAGAATCAATGCGACGGCCGACGCCGGCGGGTCTTCCCCGACCATTACGCGCGCGGGCAGCAATCTTTCGGCTGGAGCGAGCAGGTCATCAGAAATTCATTACTCCGAGCAACATTTGGCTCGCGACGACGATGGCTGCGTCGCCCGAGGCGCCCGCCGTTGCCGCGCCGAGGACAGTGGCGCGCGGGCCCGCGGTGGGCTTCGATGGGGGTTCGCCCGGATTCGAAGAGCTGGCGGGCGCGCTGCCGCTGCTGAGCGGCGGCGCTCAGGGGGGCGCCCAACTGCTCCCCCCCCCCCATCCATGATAAACGCTTCCCCGCCATCTGCGGGGGGCCCGAAGGCGACTTCGAGGCGCGCGTCGCGGAGATCTGGCGTGCTTCATCATTGAGGGGGGGGTGTTGCAGACCGCTCCAGTTGAGGAAGCGCGCTCGGCGCCGACCCAGCTGGCCACCGAAAACTGCGCGTAGGCGGTCGATGCCCGCGAAGGGCTGGGCCGCCTGACAGTGCGAAACGGCGCGCAGTGCAGCGCCGAGGGAACGCGTCATGCCCCCTGTATGAAATTCCGACGAGCATGGGCGATGCGGCGAATTCTGTTGCGCAGTGCGCATGTCCAGCGTCGTGCCGACAGAACAGCAACAGCGACTACTGCGCGACAATTGCGCCACTGCGATGCGAGCATCTGCGACAGCGGCCTCACAGAGGGCCGGAGTGGTCCAAGAGGGCGACCTCCTCGCGAAGGCCGGGGCATGGGCGAACCGCTTTCAGATGGCCGAGGCATTGCGCGCAGTGACGTCGCGAATTGGTTTGGCCGCGAATGCTTCGAGATGATGGGTGCCAGGAACGCGTCGAACACTTGCATGTCGAGATATGCTTCCGCAAGAAAAGGAAGGGGGGATTTGGGCGCGCCAGTCGACTCCGCCGCGTCGCGTGGGTTCATTCCAGGCGCAGCCGGGCCATCGAGCTTGCGGCTACTCGCCAGCGCGTGCGCGCGCAAGCAACAGTGAATCCTCGCGTCCATGGACGTCGACGAAGCCTTTTCGAACGGGATCACCCACCGCGAGTTGGCCGAGTCTTCCGGCAACGAAGAGCGCGGATGGTTTGCTTTGTCCTGCAGCCAGGTTCAGCTGCCGCCCCGAGGTCGCTGTCAGGCTTCCCGTCCCGTGACGTATGTACATTGTCTGCGGTGCCTCGAACCGGGCGCAGGGGCTGCAGACGCCCCGTGGGCGTCCTCGCTGAAACTTCGCGCGACCGCTCGAGGTTTTCGACTGCCGCTGTCATCGCGGGATCAGGAGTTCGAGACGGGCCAGAACCTGCTGGCGGCTAAACGGCGAAACTCGCCGGTGACATAAACGTTGCCAGCGCTCAGGACATGACCGGCAAGTGCGTCGCGTGCGCGAAGGGCGCCGTCGGCGCCAGCGAGCTCGATGATCCCGCGCGCAATGCGCCGTGAGGTATGCTGAACCTGAAGATTGCAGCACCACCCTCGACTAGGGCGAACACGTCAACTAGCCTCGCCCAACGCAGCATCCTGAACCCGCCGGTGCAGAAGCTGAAGAAAAGGCGACGAAGACAGTGGATGACGTGTTCTTCAGCCTTTGGGGCGCCCTGGCTTGCGCCTGAATCGCCCGTCGATGGCGCGCGCAGTATCTCTGGAACGCGTCCGAGGACCAACCGACATACAGGTACGACGACTTAGGGCCATCGTCAGGAATTTACATGTATGCTCAGAGAACATCGCACGCGGAGCAATGACTCCGACAGGAGAGCCGGACGTGCACCGCGACTCGGGCGACCGACGCCTCAATGGCGACGCCGACGACGAGGGTGGGGGGCGCGGCCTCAGGTGCCGCCCTGCGTGGGCGCGGGTGCTTTAAAGTGACGGCGCGGCAGCGGCAGTCCTCGCGCGCGCTGAGGCGGCCCGGACAGGGTAGGCGTGGGCGCGCGCAAGGTGGAGGCGTGTCGCGCACCTGGTAGACGCGCGCTGCAAGTCCCATTTATTACAGGTGTGCTCTAGCTATTCAGAGCAAGTGCTTGCAGCTGCCCACAATTTGGAATGCTGCTGCCCGACTCGGGCTCGTTCTCGTCTCTAGGACTAGTTCGGGCGTCTGGATCTCTGGGTGCCTGACTTGTGCCAGGCCTTTCGCCCGCGTGTGTTGTTTCACACTGCTTGCTCACGCTGTGTCAATGAAGCTGATGTTGCGAGCGGATTCGCCACTCGTCTCCTCCCCCTCCGACTTTCAACGGAACTGAAATGCGAACAGTACGAACGCGTAGCCGGTGCCTCTTGATTCCAGCGGCGCGCGGCAGTATCTGGTATTTTCTTATCCATCGCCTACGACGAATGGAAATATCCCGTCTAGCTTGCGCCCATTTACACATTCCATCCCTGTCCCATGCTTTTCCTACGCGCTCATACTTCCAGTGTGGGTGGGCCATGTGAGCGCTTGACGTGTAGTATACGGTTCGGCGTACCACATTTTCCTCGACTTTTTGGACCGTCTTGGGGAAACTATGGAGCCTCCTGGGCCGTCTGAGCGCGAAAAGTCAAGGGCCCCCCAAACAATGAAAACCCCAATGGGAGTAAGTGATTTTGGGATTTCGGGGCCGTGTTTGGGAGGCTCTTGGGGTTCTCTCTCGGGGCACTCGGAAGTTTTTTGGGCTGTCTTGGGCCCACTAGTGGCGTCTTGAAACGATCTTGCGGTGATTCGGGTCCCTCTGCTGTCTGGGCGGCCTCTTGGGGCTCTCTTGGCCCGTTTTGTGGCCCTCCTGTGCCGAAACAACTGATGCGTTTGGGGCCCAGGTCCCCAGCACGATCTTCAACATAGAGGGTTTGAGGTTGAAAGGATCAGGCCAAGGGCTTGAAGACAAGCCAACTCCTGCCTCACAGGCACGGTGGCGGATTTGCACGCCCTCCCTGGCGATATGATGCGCGAGCAGCACGAATCCAATAGCTTCGATGGGCACTAGACGCGTGCTGCCAGAGTCGTTTCGCTTTGCTTCATTCCATCTCGCTCTCTCTCTCTCTCTCTCTTTCTTTCTCTCTCTCTCTCTCTCTATACTTGTTCACATCTTATGGGCGCGCGGTTCTCAGGGGCTGGCTGACGCCGCAGTACATCATCGCCCGCGTGGGAGAATCTTCGGTGGCCGTCCCCGACGTCTATCAGAAATTGAGGCAGGGACGAGGGATCACGACCTCGGTGTTTTTGACGTTGAGAATGGTGGTGATGCCGATACTTGTGTGTCGATGACGACGATGGTGACGATTATTCTGGTCGCGACGGCGACGACGACGACGAAGGAGGACGGTGACGACGGTGCTCAGCATGATGAAGTTCACTTCCCTCGATAGCAGGCGACGTCTATAGAGGAGCCTTTAGGAGCGCTTTTACACCCAAGAGCGAACATATCGGACAACCAACAAAACCCCGACACACCCACCCAATATTTACGTAACCCAGATGAGGGCCCCGATGTTCATGCATTGTTCGGGGAACTTGGGCCTCGGGCCAAACGTGCACCATGGGCTGAAGTAGGGTCGACTTCACGCAACTATTCGTCCTGCTCCTCGGTCACCCCCCTCTTATTCCCAGAGCTTTTATTTGCCAGCGACCTGAAGCCAAATTTCCTGGAGCTTTCGGGAGCCCTGCAGAAGCCCTTTTCGAGGGTTTGTCAGCTTCAGGCTCGATCCCCAGCTTCGAGTGGGCCCCAACATAGGAGCTGCTACCGCTCGAAGAACCCGTTCTTCCCCAGGGACGCGACATGTTCTCCTCATCCTTCCTCCCTTTTGCCCCTCCCAGTTCCCCTCCCTCCCTCCCTCCCTCCCTCTCTCTCCCTCTCGTTCGCTTGAGTTCTTCATGGTCGGAAGCGTAATGCAGAGATCAGCCTGTTCCCACGGCCCGCCGTGCTTCTCTTCCTCGCTCGTCCTCCTCAGCGTGGCTGCTCGCAAGCATGATCGATGAGCACATGTTCCCTGGTCGGATGTCACGGCCTCCACGCCATGCCCTGATGATGACGAGCACGAGCTGGCTCTGACGCGGGGGCACGCGCGCCTCCTGCGCTCGGCCCCCGTCCTTTTTTTGGGGAAACTTGACGCGGGGTCAGTCGAGGGGAACCTCGCCGCCTCGCCTGTGCGCAGCTCTGCCCTCACACGCGCAGGCGCCCACACCGACACCTCTTGTCGAGGATAGCAGCAGCCCGCATCCGAGTGGCGCATCGTCCTGCGCCAGTAGAAGGACCTCGTCTCCGCCTTCGAAGTGGTCCACGCCATTCGAGCGATTTGCCGTGGCTACGTCGCTGGCATGACAACGGATCGGTCGGGATTGTCGATTCTCCCAGCTATCTTCTGGCTCCTCTGCCTCGTACAGCTCCTCCCTCGTTCCTCCTCCCCCCTCCTTCTCCATCATCATCCGCATCATCATCATCATCACCATCATCATCATCACCACCATCATCATCACAAGCAGCATCAACCACACCATCATCATCACCAGCAACATCATCACCACCATCATCGTTCATCATCAACATCATCATCATCATCAGCATCATCATTATTACCATCATCGTCATCATCGTCATCATCGGTATCATCATCGTCATCGTCATCGTCGTCATCATCGTCAGAGTCACCACCATCATCATCATCAGCATCGGCACCATCATCATCATTTACAAGTCTTATTATTATCCAATTTTTTAAGTATTAGTGTTATTGTTTTCATTCGTATTTGTAACGTCATCGTCATCAGTATGGAACCATGTATTTTTATCGATATTATCTTTTATCGTATTGTCATTTTCACTGCTATTGTTTTGTTGTTGGTATTGCCATCATACTCATCATCGGTCTCGTCGCCATCATTATCACCACCGTCACCATCATCATCATCATCAGCATCATCATCACCATCATCAACATCATCGTCTTCATCATCTTCATCATCTTCATCACCGTCGTTATGGTTGTCGTAATCATCATCATAATCAGCATCATCACCATCACCATCATCATCATCATCATCATCATCATCATCATCATCATCATCATCATCATCATCATCATCATCATCATCATCATCATCATCATCCCCATCATCATCACCATCATCATCATCACCACCACCACCATCATCATCATCACTATCAACAGCGTCCTCCGCCTCCTACTGCGCCTTTCTCGCTCTTCCCTCCTCCCCCTTCCTCCTCCTCCTCCTCCATCGGCGTCCCCGCAGCCCTGGAGCCTCCTCCCAGGTGGACCTGCGCCAGACCCTGAAGGTGGAGTCGGTCCCCCGCGTCCCCACCTCTGCACCCACCCAGGCTGCCCCGCGGGGGAAGGCAAAGAAGGAGGAGGGCGGAGGCGGAGGAGAAGGTGGAGAGTTGCCTTGCCGCCTGCCTAAAAACAGAGGTGGAGGAGGAGGAGGAGGATCTGATTTGAGTTGTCTTGGATGGTTCGATGGGGGTCAGGGAAACCAACCATGTCCCTTTCATGACAGGCCCTCCTTCCTGACGGCGTCTGGAGTACGGTGCTGGCGGCGACGGTGACGATGACGATGACGATGAGATTATGACGATGCTGATTATGAGGATGATGCTGCTGATGATGACGTTGATGATGATACAGATGATGGTGATGATGATGACGATGATGATGCTGATGATGATGATGATGATGCTGATGATGATCATGATGATGAAGTGGTGGTGGTGGCGATGATGGTGGTGGTGGTGCTGATGGTGGTGATGATGATTGTTGTGGTGGTGGTGATGAGGTCGTTGATGACGATGCCGATAATGGTGAGGTGGTTGACGACGACGATGGTGATGACGATACGGACGACGACTATGATGATGAGGAGGAGGACGAGGAGGAGGAGGATCATGGTGCTGATCATGATGATGATGACGATGCCGATGATGCTGATGGTGGTGGTGATGATGATGACGATGATGGTGCTTGAGATGATGATGGTGATGATGATGACGATGATGATGCTGAAGCCGATGATGATGACGATGCTGCTGCTGATGATGATGATGCTGTTGATGACTATGACGATGATGAGCACGATGACGATGACGATGACAATGATGATGATGCTGATGATGATGATGCTGATGACGACCACGATGATGATGACGACGATGCTGATGCTGCTGATGATGATGGTTGTTGTGATGATGATGAGATGGTGATGACGATGAAGATGATGATGATGATGAAGATGATGATGATGATGGTGATTATGACGATGATGATGATTATGATGATGATGATGATGATGATGATGATGATGATGATGATGTGAATGATGGTCATGATGATGATTATGATGATTATGAAGATGATGATGATGATGATGATGATGATGATGATGATGATGATGATGATGATGATGAAGATGATGATGATGATGATGATGATGATGATGATGATGATGATGATGATGATGATGATGACGATGACGATGACGATGATGATGATGATGATGATGATGATGATGATGATGATGATGATGATGATGATGATGATGCTGATGATGATGATGATGATGATCATGATGATGATGATGATGATGATGATGATGACGATTATGATTTCTCATGAGTCATTATTCTTGCCCTCCGGTGCCCATGGATCGCAGGTAATCAAAGTGCGCCTCCCAGTGCTCGCACCTTGTTTTTTCATGGGGAAGTCTTGAGGCTCAGAATGCATTGTTGGCCCACGAACGACAACAACAACGGCTCCCGCCTGATACTTCTTCACAGTTTATCTAACGTCGATCTCTGTCGCGGAACTGCGTCAGAATGTAAGCAGGAGTTGCGCTTTCGCGTGGTATTTCCTCGCAATCAATTCAAACACCGCGCCCTGGACACTCAGGAATCACGCTCTCGCTTTGGCCTTTCTCTCGATGTTCTTGATGATCGCGCTGTCGCTCGAGACCTCCTCGGGATTCATGCAGGACTCGCTTCAGCCACCCGCCTGCTCGACCTCGCCGCCTGGGCCCGCCTTTCCGATCTGCCAGTTGGGATATACCCGTCCGATCAGCCCGTCTGGTTTTGCCACGTGTTTTCTGCTTCGAGTCCCCTCCTGCTAATCTCTCTCGTGTTCCATCCTTCTCCCTCCCCCTTGTCCCTTCCTTCCATCCGTCCTCTCTTCCCCTGCTTTAGGGGCTGTGCCACATGTACGTGGCAGGTAAGGAAGGTATGCCCCCGACGGGGTACGATCGAAGACGAAGAGGGCGGGTATCGAGGGTATGGGATATACGTGTCGAATGCAGGTGTGAGCGAACAGTATGCACATTACACATTCATTTCTAGAGAATAATTACTGTTGATCTCCGGAAGCGGTTCCGCGCGCCCTCGCCTCGACGCCGGCTACATTTTCTCTGAAAACGAGGCTCCCGCTAGAGCATTGGCTTGAGTGTACATGTAGGTTCTTTGAGGCCCAGCTACGACGACAACGGCTCCCTCTCGATACTTCCTCACAGTTTTCCCCGAGACACCCTGGCCAAAGAGGCCCCCGAACTCAGGAACGGCGGTCTCGCTCGAGACTTCCTCGCAATTCAATCAAGTTGGCGGAGGCCCAGCCACGACGACCGGGGCTCCTGCTCGGTACTTTCTCACGATTTACTCCGAGAGCCCCTGGCCAGGAAGGCTCCCGAACTCCGGAACGGCGCTCTGGCTCAAGACTTTCTCGCGATTCAGTCAAATTGGTGACCCAACAACGACGACATGGGCTTTCGTTCGATATCTCCTCAAGATGAATTAGCAAAGCCCCTTGCCAGAGAGGCCCCCGAACTCAAGAGTGGCGCTGTCGCTCGAGACTATCTCGTAATTCAGGCAAGTTGGTGGAGGCCCAGACACGGCGACAAGGGTTCCCGTTCGATATTTCTCCATATGTATTCCGAGAGCCCCTGGCCAGAGATGCCCCCGAGCTCAGGAACGGCGCTCTCGCTCGAGAGTTCCTCGCACTTCAGCCAGTGGCCGATAAGGAAAATATTCCCCCCGAAAGGGGGTGCAATAGACGGCGAGGTGGGCGGACATCGAGGGCAGGGTATGCAGAATGCAAGACACGCGTGCCAGTAAGAACGAACAATCCTAAAATGATTATTGTTGTTGGTGTTGTTGTTGATGTTGATGTTGTTATCATTGTTGTTGCTGTTGTTCTTGTTGCTGTTGTTGTTGTTGTTGCGTTTGGTGTTGTTGTCATTGTTTGTATTAGTGTTGCTGTTGTTGTTGTTGTTGTTGTTGCTTCTGCTGTTGTTGTTGTTGTTGTTGTTGTTGTTATTGAACTCTCATTCTTGAAGAATAATTGTTGTTGATCCCCCCACCGGTGCACATTGATTTTTTTTCAATTGAAGTGCCCCCCCCAGGGCTCGCACTTTTTTGTTTGTCAAGGAAAGTCTTCCTGCTCAAACTGGGCCCCTGGCCCCCGGGTTACAACAACAACGGCTCCCGCCTGAGACTTCCTCACAATTTAGCCAGGACCCCCGCTCCCGCCCGAGACTTTCTCGCATTTTATTCAAGAATCGCGCTCTCGCTTTGGACTTCCTTACGATTTATTCAGGAATCGCTCCTCCTGCGCTCTGGAGTCGCGCTCTCGCTGGAGACTTGCTTGCAATTTACTGAAGAATAGCGCCCTTGCGTTGGAATTGCTTGCAATTTACTCCAGCGCCGCGCTCCCGACACCCAGGCACCCAGGAGTCGCGCTCACGCTTAGGACTCCTTCACAGATTACCTAGGAATCAGAATCTCGCTGCCCTTCGTGGCCCCGTTGCAGCCCTTCGTGGCCCCCTCGCTTTGTTTCGTGGCCCCGTTGCAGCCCTTCGTGGCCCCCTCGCTGCCCTTCGTGGCCCCGTTGCAGCCCTTCGTGGCCCCGTTGCAGCCCTTCGTGGCCCCCTCGCTGCCCTTCGTGGCCCCGTTGCAGCCCTTCGTGGCCCCCTCGCTTTGTTTCGTGGCCCCATATATGTATGCCCTTCGTGGCCCCCGCTCGTTCGCGCCCGTGGTGGCTCCATATGCATGCCCTTCGTGGCCTACTTCGTGTCCTTCGTGACTCTGCTGTCGTTCTCTCTCGCTCTCGCTTTCGCTCGTCGTCGTCGTGGTCGGTCCTCTGTCCGTCCCTCTTGGGGTCGGGTCGACGGTCCGCGGCCGCCCCGCCGATCAGCGCTGCCGCTGGCCAGGCCGACGGTCCGCGGCCGCCCCGCCGCTTGCCTGGGCCCGGCCTGCAGGGAAGAAAGGTATACCCCCCAAAAGGGGTTCGATCGAAGACGAAAAGGGCGGATATCGAGGGTTTGGGAACTTCGCGTTATTTGACACTCGAGCAGATAAGGGCGAACAGTCTTAACATGATTGTTGTTGTTGTTGTTGTTGTTGTTGTTGTTGTTGTTGGTGTTGTTGTTGTTGTTGTTGTTGTTGTTGTTGTTGTTGTTGTTGTTGTTGTTGTTGTTTTTGCTGTTCTTAGTGTTGTTGTTGTTGTTGTTGCTGTTGCTGTTGCTGTTGCTGTTGCTGTTGCTGCTGCTGCTGCTGCTGTTGTTGTTGTTGTTGTTGTTGTTGTTGTTGTTGTTGTTGTTTTTGTTGTTTGAATTGTAGTTGTTGTCGTTGTTGTTCTCCCCCGCCGTGTACAGTGCATTGATCCCTCCCCCTTCTGCTCCTAGCCTGCTGCTAATCTCTCTCGTGCTCCATCCTTCCCCCCTCCCCTAATCATTCGTCCTCTCTTACCTTGTTTTAGGGGCTGCACTAATTGCTTGTGGCAGGTAAGGTGCAATTCTACAGGGTTACGCCACATCCGTCGGCCTTTTGTTTTGACAGAGGAGCTTATGTGCAAGCCGCGGAAGAGTCAGCCCTCAAGACGCCCAGCGATTCTCTCTGGGTCGTCTTGGCGCCCGGCTGGGTGAGTCCATTTCCGTCTTCGGGCTCCTTGGAGCCTTCTTGAGGCCGTCCTGGAAGGCTCTGGGGCTGCTAGAGTTGATGGAAGCCCGACGAGCTTAGAAAGCGAACCTTTTTCCAAGCCCAAGTGAAGCTGAACGAATTTGTGTTTGTGGGCCCTGTTGGGGCCCTCTTGCGCCGTCTTGGGGGCGTCTTGGGCTGTCTGTCACGGCGCGCAGTTGGCAGGCGTGCGAGTGTGCGGGCATGTGCACGAGGAGGCTCCCGAAGGTTGCGTGTGCCGGAGGCGCCAATTCCGCACGTTCCGCCAACAAATGCGCCTTGAAGTGCAAGTCATGCGGGTGACGCCCGTTCGGGGGACGTCGAACGGGCCGAGGGTGAACGCTGATTGGGGGAACGACGACGAAGACGAGGAGGAGGAGGCAGAGGACGATAAGGCAGAGGAGGAGGGGAGGAGTTCTTTGGAAGCCTTCGGTTGAACTCGCCATCGTGCCGTGGCTGTGGGTCAGGAACCTCTGGGATGCCTACGAGGGCCTCTTGGGGTGGCCCTCCGGGGACTTTGGGGAGCGCTCTTTGGGGGATCCAGGGGGCTTTTTGGGGGCTTTTGGGGCGTCTCGGGTGCCTCTCGGGGACGCTTCGGCGCCTCTGGCGGCCTCTTGGGGCGATTTTTGGAGGAAAAGCTCCATACGCCAGGTTGCATTCCCCTTCTTGGGACCCCCTTGGGGCCTTCTTGGGGCTCTCTTGAGCCGTTTTTGATGCCCCTGGGGTCGTCTTTGTGTCCTCCTGGGACGTTTCGGGGCCTTCTGGAGGGCCTAATGGGCCATCTTGGGAGGATCTTGGGGGCCCCTTGGGCCGTCTTGGACGCTGTCAAGACGCAAGAGGCGCGAATGATTACAGTGTACGTCTTCTTGAGGGACTGTGGTGACTTTCGCCTCTTGGGGCCCTTCTGGTGGTCTCCTGGGATCAGGCTATCAGGCTTGAGCCGTCTTGGGGGCGTCGTGGGCCGTCTGGAGGCCTTCCTGGACCATGCTGGCGTGCTGTTTGGGCATCTTGGGCCGTTTGGGGGGTCCCAGGAACCATCTTAGTCTTGGCGTCAAAAGGGTCCCCCCTGGGGAGAGGCGGACCCCCCCTGAAGAGTTCATCCAGGGGTCGCTGGTGGCGAGGGGGGGGTTCAACGGGAACATAGGGGGGGAACCATCTCACACGCCTGAAGACCCACAAGGGGTATGCGGACATACCCCGAAGGGGGCTACGATCGAGGACGAAGAGTGCGGGTTTCGAGGGTTTGGGATATACGTGTTGGATGGCACGCGAGCAGGTAAGAGCGACATTGTTGTTGTTGTTGTTGTTGTTGTTGTTGTTGTTGTTGTTGTTGTTGTTGTTGTTGTTGAACATTATTTATTCTAAAGAATAATTATTGTTGGGGCCCCTGGTGCACGGCCCCCTCGCCGCGCCTAGGCCGCAGCCACATTTTCATCATTTTCGTGAGGAAGTCTCAGGCAAAACGTGGGTGTCCGGATCCGGTTGTTTTGTTGTCCCCCGTTTTCCCTTGCAAAAAACACTATAACATGAAATTTCTTGTTCTAACATAACCAAACTTCAAGAATCCTTTGAAACAAATGACACGAAGTGCACACTCGCGCGCGCAAGATGAAATCCTTCCAAAACCTTAGTTTTCGTAGCGATTTTAACATAAAAACATGAAAAACCCAATGGTTTTTCAAACAAAAAAGTTTCAAAAATTCATCTTGCGCGCTCTTGCGGATTTCTGAGGAAACCCAATATTTTTTCAACATTTCTGTCAAACGGGCTCTTGCGAGCAACTTTTTCACGTGCTTCGAACTTCTGCAACAACGGTTGCGCGCATGCCAGGGCCATCATCCCTGTCAAATAATACCATATTGGACACATTCGTTTTTTCTTCGCGCGCGCACGCCGTCGTCGTCGGCCGCGGGGCCCTGAATAGTAGCCACGGTCGTCCGCATGCCACGAAGTGAAGTGTCCGAACGTCATAGGGCGGGAAGCTGGGTGTGGGTGGTGGCGAAGAGTCGTATGGAAATTTGGTAGAGCTTGAACCGGCCCCCCCACAAAGTGGGGGTATTGCCCGCCTCCTATGAAAACCCTGGCACTGGTGAGAACGGAGTGTCCCCAGTCTTAAATGATTGTTGTTGTTGTTGTTGTTGTTGTTGTTGGTGTTGTGGTTCTTGTTGTTGTTTACGATGCTAATGCTGACGCTGCTGCTGCTGCTGCCGATGATGATGATGATGATGATGATGATGATGATGATGATGATGATGATGGTGATGACGATGCTGACGACAACGATGATGATGCTGATGCTGATGCTGATGCTGGTGCTGCTGATTATGATTACGATGCTGCTGCTGATGCTGTTGCCGATGCTGGCAGTGACAATACTATTGATACTCCTAGCAATTCTGATGATGATATTGATGATGATGCTGATGCTGATGATGATGATGATGATGCTGATGCTGATGATGATGATGATGATGATGATGGTGCTGGTGATGATGATGATGATGACGATTATGCTGATGATGATGACGATGACGGTGATGACGATGAAGATGAAGGTGAATAACATTATGATGCTGGAGCAGCAGGAGGATGATGATGATGAGGAGGAGGAGGAGTGTCGATGATTGCTGCTTTTGTCTACAGGTCATATGTCCATGAGCTGCACTCTGGGTCCTTCTCGTCGTTATGCTTCCCTCGTCGCTCGTCGCCTTCTTGTGTCTTCGTCTCGGCGTTGCTTTTTCTTGGCTATCCGTCTTGTTCTCCTCCGTCCTCGCTCCTCTTCCTATGATGTTCCAACTTGCTTTGGCCTTGACCAAAGTAATCTCGAGCACCAGAAAAGTACCGAAACTCGAAGGTTTTCACGTTCTAGGTCCTGGGAGACACTCGTCCGACACTATTCCGACACTCACTCTTTCGACACTCTCCCGGGTGCTCGAAATCATTTGTGGGATGTGGTCCTCAAGTACGATGGGAGCAACACAGTCGCAGGCCTAGAAGTTGACACCAACACCAAGATCGGCGGCGTTCCTCCACCGAGGGAAGAGAATCCCGATCTCGGTGATGGTGGTAATATTCTGGCTTCCAAGGTGACCGAAATATTACCACCAGCACCGAATTCTAGGATCGTCTCCACCCTGTGGAGGCAGCCCCGTGTCTTGGTGTTGGTGCCCATTTCCAGGCCTCCCACACAGTCCTCTTCCCTGGCCCGCCCTCACGTGTGGCCGCGTTCTCCCTCCCCCCCCCCCCCTCGGAGGCACCGACCCTGGCACCGACCTCGGCCCCGACTGTGACCACGGTGCTGCGCCGCTTGTCTGCTCGCTCGGGGCTGGCTGGGGGGAGGCGCAGCATCACGGGAGGAGGGAGGAGGGCGCACAGGACGAGAACGGCAAGGAGGAGCGAGGGCCCTTGCTGTGCGCGTGCACGCTGCACTGGATGCATGTCTACCCCCTGTGCTCCGGACGATGGTGGGGTTGAGGTTTGGGGCCAGTCGCGGGCTCCGAGACTTGAGTCGGGCCTGTCCCTCTACAGGAGGAGCATTCAAGAATCATCCAACAATAGTCCAGGGATGATTCTTCGACTATTTTTGGCCAGTGTTGAGTATTTCTTGACTCTGTTGGCATCTTTCGTCCAACATCCGCCTGCAGGGGGACACGCCCGACCTAACCCGAGACCGTGACATCCAATTCTGGACGAAAAACGGTTCCCGGGAGACAGCCCAGGGGTCCAAGACCCGCTCCCTCAGGACCCCCTCCCTTCCCGCCCAGACGCTGCGACGAGGAGTCCAGCCTCAGAGCGGCTTCGCTCCCTCTGGGCCGGCCTCTCTGCACGCGGCCTGGCGCGACCACCGCGCCCGCGCCTCCTGCACCGCTCCCCTTGCCCGCCATCCCCTGCCGCAACCCTGCTTCCACTCCGCTCCCCTGCCCCCCCCCCTGCCGCATCAGCTCACGACGTCCGCGACCACGACCTCCGCCACGACCACGACCTCCACTTCTACGACCCGCGCTCCGGCCTCGCCGCCCCGCCGCTCGCTTCTTCGGTTGTCTTGCTCTCTCTCTTCCCTCTCGCTGCAGTGCCCGCTGTTGCTGCGAGAAGTCTTTGAAGCGGTGAGGCCTGTCGAGGTCAAAAAAAAAACACTCCGGAGCTCGGCCAGCGTGTCTCTTAAGGGAGTGAGCGCGGCTCGCCCTGTGCTCCCAGGGATGGTCGGCACGAGCGGAAGGGGTACGGAAAGGACGGGTGCGCTGCCCGGCAGCAGCTCCTGTCCATTCTGAACAGGGCTCGCTGTCGGTGTCGCCGCGGCCTGTGTCCACTTGTGACAGAAGGCCGCCTGCCCCACAGTGGCCGCTGCTGGTTTGGGACAACGTTGGTGGTTGGGCATTGTGCCCATTCTTTCCGTACCCATTTCGGGCGTCCAAGAATGGGCCCCCGAGGGTTGTGAAGTTGGTGGCTCCCGTTCCGGGGGGGTGGTATACATGTTACCCAGCAGCTCGCATGTGCCGATGTACGGGTGTACATGTACGATGTACGGTGTGTGCGTATGTACGGTTGTACGGAGTGTTGAAAACCCCATGATTGAAATGGTGAGAGTCCCACGGCATTGCCACACGTTCGTGACCTGGGAAAACTGAAATGGTGAGAGTTCCGTGGCCCTGTCGCACGTTCATGACTTGGGAACGGTGAACTGGTGAGATCTCTAGCTCTGCCACACATTCGTGATACGGTTGCTATTCAACGTAAGAAGATAGCAACTTCGATTCGCACTTGCCCCGGCGATGATAAAAGATCGGCCTCGCCGCCCCTTTCCATCGACCAGTACTTCTGTCTTGGCCAGAGATAAGCAACACCCATACGTTAGTCACCGAGCGCGCTCCGCTACCCACAAAGTGCGTGCTCGCAAACGTTCGAAAACGAACATGTCTTCATGTATGTAATGGGACGCGCATCCCCCGTGGCGGATCCAGGCCATGCGATCAGTTTTTTTGCGGGTGGCGGAACGCGCTCGTCTAGTTAAGGGGGGTGATGGCTTATTATCCTGGGCGCGGGGTTAGCTACGGCGGGTCTTGCGGCTGCCCGCCCCTGGGTGCCTCGTGGGCGCTCCGTGGCCGCCCCGTGGCCGTCCGAGGGCGCCCCTTGTGGGCGCTCACGGGCGCCCCTGGCCGCCTCGTGGGCGCCAGCGCGGCTCGCACCACACAGCTCGCGCCAGGCAGCGTGCACCACGTAGACTGCACTGCAGTGCGTAGCCCGCACCACACCACCTGCACCACATTGCTTGCACCGCGCAACTTGCACCACGCGGCTTGCACTTATACAGCTCGCGCCACTGTGGTTGTCAGGCCCCTGCTGGCCTCTCCTCCTTCTGCGCCTCTCTCTGTACTCCCTTGTGCGCCGCCATATCGGCTCACAAGGGCTCTTGAGTTATCATGGCGCGCCGGTGACGGACGCGCCCACGCTTCCGTAAAAGGAAAGCGAATGTTCTCTCTTGTAGCACGGGTCCCCTATTTTACTTCGTCTCTTTCTCTATCCATGCAGTCATCCCCGTACAATCCACAGTGGCAGCGGAGCCTGTGGTTAGTTCCACGAGGGGAATCGCGACGACTCCCTTGTCAATCGATTATCGGGCGACATACTCTTTACTCTTTTCCTGTTTTCCCGTTATCCACCCAAGTGTACCAAGCGCCGCCAACGCTCAGCACCAAGAAAACTTCCAGTACATACTTGTCTATAACCTTATCAGAATCCTTGGGCAGAAACTGGAAGACGATAGTACGTTCCTTGCAAGGTGCTGACAATATGGGCTTGTTAGATCAGGACTGGGCCCGCTGGTTATCACAGCCCCGGACGGAAACGCAACCCAATACCCAACAATCCTCATAAGTATGAACTGTGTGGGGGCGTGGTTCGCCGGCTGCACCAGATTGGCACAAAACGGTTCTGCGAGGACAGGGTATGCCTTTCACCCATTTTGCTCCTTCCTATTCGGGAGATACCACTGTCAGATTTTTGATCGCCAGCGGGGACAATGTCCTGAACAATCGGAGGCCCCAAAGATACCGAACGACCGTGCCTACCGCATGGGATGGAAAAAACCCGGATAGTCGTCTAGACCCTTACGTGAAGGAACTGCAGATGTGGTTCACTAGTACCAGCATTTTGAGAGCGCAGCGCGGATACCTCATCTTCCGTTGTGCCGCAGACGACCTCACGATCATCATTGACAACCTACCCAGGACCAGCTGCCTGCTGAGGGCGGCGGGCATGTTGTGGTGAAACACATCCCAGAAGGCTTTTGCCGAGTACCAAGACCGCAGGATGCCGAAGGCTTTTCATAAACTTTTTTATTCAGAAGACACCGGGCGTAAACGATTTTATTCCCCGGTCAAGTATGTCGCGCAGAAGCTCGTGGTTTTCCGAGAACTCGAGAAACATACTAGTTTGCCAAAGGATTCGAAAGGGTACGTGCTTCTGATAGAATCCAAGCTCAGTGACGCTGCTTGGGATGCGGTTGATCACTGGGCAGAGGGGCCATGCGACTTTGACTTGGTGTGTGAACAGCTTCGGAAGCTTGAACGACCATTACATTCTTGCAACGGCGGCCATCTTCTCCATGGCATGAGTTCCTTCCTGCATTTTGTCGGAGATAAAGGAGATGATGGCGGATGCGAGGATCAGGGGTCGGGCCGCGACGACTTCCATGGGATTATCATGCAACAGTCTTTGTCTATTCTTGCCCACGTCCTACGAGGAAGACGAGGCCGTGAATGAGGCCATCGAATACATGGACGAGGACGATGTATTCTTTCGTAGCTGGAGACTTGCCCGACGACGTGGTATTAAGGAACAAGGGGCCATCGCCACCCATGCTAACGTCAGTCAGGTACGACAGTGCTCGCCAGGACAGAAGCCTGGACGAGGCTTTGTCAATCAGCAACGCCCAGAAGGGAAAGCCCAGAGGCCCCCGAACAGGGAAAACGTCGAGGGAAACGCGCTGGACATGCCCGACCGAAGCGGTGGGCCAACAGTGACTTGATGGGCCGCTCGAAGTGCTCCTGATGCGGGAAGACGGGGCACTGGGCCCGAGACTGTGCGAGCGAGCCGGACGAGCGAGGACGGAATCGACGAGCCGGCTTCGGCTGCTTCCAAGCAGTTCCCTTCGAATCAGATGATGGTTTGAATGGCGCTTGCCAGCGCGGGCCTGCGATCCAGCCTGGAGTCAGTTCCTTGGCTTCTCCTATCTCTGCTATTGCCGACGCTGGAGGTCAGGGTTTAGATGGCTTTCGGTTCGGTGGATACTGGAGCACAGCATGGAGTCCTGTGGCACAGACCAGTTGGAGAAAATGGTGGCATGCCTTGGGGGTGCCTACGGTCTGAGGCCCACGCATATACTTCCTCTGGAAATGGACGCCATGGGCGTTGGAGGATCTACCCAGTTTCTCTCCTTCTGGGCATTGCCTATTGCCGTGTGGTGCCATTGCGGTGCATTTGATTGCTTGTGATGTGCCCGTGCTACTCTCAGTGGGGGCGCTCGGACAGCTTGGAGTGGTTCTTGGTTTGCCAGGTGGCGTGATCGCTTGGAAGTCACTCGGCGGCAGCCAGTCGAGAGTGCGCGAGGCGCGTTGCGTTCCATATTTTTGATTTCCCCAGGAAGGTTGGCAGGGGGGGAGGGGCATCGCGACCGCCTCTCCCAGGACTCAGGGGCACTGCCGAGTTGTCGAGCAGGGGGGCGCCGTATTCCATGCGAATCCGCAGGCGCCCTCGGCTCGGGCCTGTCTTTCTCAGCGGAGTGTCTACTCCCCCGACGTTCCGCGCGATGGCGGGCCGCGCGGAGCGCGTGTTCGCCGGGGGCGGGGGGGTGGGGCGCAGCCAGAGCCTCCGACGAGGTCCAGTCAGCCGGCGATGGCCTTGGAGAAGGGGGGGTGGAAATGGAAGCAGGTACGTCTGAAGTTGTTCCCCATACTGGGCCGCGTGGCCGCGGGGCGCCGCGCGGAGGCCCGCGCCGGGGCCAGCGGCCGCGAGAACCGGTTGGGGGGCGCCAGGGGCCCGGGTCAGGAGGCGGCGCCATCCGCGCGGCGGCCTCGCGACCCGTGGCCGTTCCCCCGAGTTCTGGAGGTCAGCGGCGGGCAGCGGTGCGCGGTGGGCAAGGGGCTGGGCCCCGACGGCTCGGGCGCCAGGAAGACCGGCTGGGCCGCGCGCGCGCGCCCCTAGAAGGCCATGGGCCATCGGGGCAACAACGGAACCCTGCGGTGGGCTCGCGGCGACTGCCAGATGCGCTGGGCGAGGCTCTCGAACGACGGCTTCACTGACGCGGGGCCCCATGCGACCGGGGGCGGGCGGTGTTCGGGAGGTTTTCGGGCTACGCATTCAAGAGGATTTACGAGATGGGCTTCCAGTTCTGCGAGTGGCGCGCGAGTCCTCACGAGTCGGGCGACCCAGTCTCGCATCAGCAACTCCGACGTTTGTCCGCGTGCACGGCCGAGCATGAGACGCGCGAGAACATCATGGGCGGGGGCGGCTTCGAGACAGTAGCGGGGGGGGGGGGAGGGGGCGCGGCGCTTGCTGGGTTCGCGGGCAGAAGATGTCATCCGCGGTCGCAGGGCGTGCGTCCGAGCGCATCAGGGCCTCCGCGCCGCCCGCTTCAATCCCGCCGACTCCGCTGGCCCCCCGTCAGCAGGTGACTGCGCCTGCGAGCGGATGACAGAGGTTGTCTACCCAGATGGGATTGCCGAATTTATCCAGGCTGCGTGGTCTGAGCCGTCTTCTGTCGTCCGTGCATTGGACAAGACGTGGTCTGGCCGTGCTCTCTTTTATTGCAGGGCTGCTGCCATCGCGATGTTCGTTGGCGCGTTGCTGGCAAGCATCTGTCCTCGCAGTGCTTGTCTCAGTCAGGTTGGACAATTCATGTCTCCGGATTCTGCCGATGTAAGCCTGGCTTGTCTAGTATCTGGTAAACGCATGGCTGCGCTTCGAGGTGTCCCGGGCGATTCCTGGCAGTCCGTCGCTCCGCAGGATTCAG